TCCAGCAGGCTGCTGTCCATGGGGATGACCGAGTACCAGAGGGGCGACTCGGCGATGCACGAGCGCTCGGGCTGCAGGTAGAAGATGTCGTTGCGGTTCCGCAGGCTCTCGGGGCTGCAGGGAGACAGGAAGGCGAGAGGAAGGTGAGCGGGGAGAGCAGCATGGGGCTCGGTGCCCGCGGCCCTGGGGAAGCCCAGCACCCTGCCACAATTCGGGGGGCTCTGATTTGCTTCGGTGTCTGTCTCCAGCAGGGAATGCAGGCCTGGAGCTCCTCACTTGGGACCTAATTCCTTAGGCAGCTGAGCAGCAGCCTCAGGCTCGCTGCCTCCTGCCCCCGGGGGTGGTGGAAGGAGCCAGAGACCTGTTTCCTCAGCCACGGGCTGTAAGCAATGCAGAGCCCAGGCAAAACTTTACACTCAAGGCCTAATTCTGCATGCGTGGAAAGCAGCAGCCACTCCACACTGTCCTGCTGGAATGGAAAGGTAGCCCCTAAAGGAGTTACGTCCCATGTCCCAAAAAAAGCCTCACCATTTGGAGAGATAAAATTCATAGAACTTGACTGGGCATCGGAGAGGGTTCATCCGGTTCTCCCGCTGCTCCAGGACTGGCGTCTCCTCCTCCCGCTTCCGCTTTCCAGAAGCACCATCTGCAGAGGGGGACAGAAGGGGATGAGGGCTGGGACGGGGCAGGGGAGGCCGGGGATGGGGACGCGGGTGCTCACGCAGCCCCTACCTCGGCCTTTCCTCTGCTTGGCAGGGGCGTAGTAGCGGATGCTCACCACCTTGGCCACGCCGCGCGCCGTGCTGCACTTGCGGGACTGGCGCACCACGTTGGTGAAGGAGAGCTGCATGTGCTCCTCGGCCGTCTGCAGCCCGAAGAACTTGGTGTTGAAGAACATGAGGGTGTTGAGGAGCACAAAGGGTGAGTAAACGCCCAGCTGCTTGCATTCCCAGAGGTGCTCCTCCTCGACACGTGAGAAAACGGCGTCTGCGACACACAGGGGAACAACCAGGTCACACCCACAGTGACCTTGTGCCAGCTCCAGGCTCTTGCAGGGAATGATTTGCCTGCCTGGGATCCAGCTCCACACAGCCAGGGAATGGGGGACTGGAGCTCTCCCTTCTCCAGGGCAAACAAGCTCAGCTCAGCAGCACAGTGAGTTGCACAACACTGAGTTCCTGGGCACAGGGCAATACTGTGGAGCCAAGAACAACAGCCCTAGGAGGCTACTTCTCCAGAGCCATCGCAGGGATAGACGCTGATTCTGCTCAGCCATGAATTATCCCAGAACACGGCCAAACCATGGGTCAGAACCCAGATCAACGTTAACATCTTATCTGTATAGATGGCCACCAAACTCCAGGTCAGCCCTCCACATTCAGGGGGAGATAAATAAAGAGCAGCAGGCAGGACAGACACGGCCAGCCGTTGAAGCCAAAAGCATCTTCCTGGAACTGGCAGCATAGAGAAGGGAAGGGGGACTAACCACGGACAAGACACCTTGGCAGAGGGAGCCCAGATCACAGTATCCCCAACAGCCTCTGCAGAGCAATAAGGTAATTTGCTTGTAAGGGAGACAGGCAGCAGCACAGCAACCCTGCCCAACGCTGCCTACAGCGTGCAGGCTCACCCAGGGCTGGGAATGCGGGAATGAAGGCACAGGTCACAGGGCCTCCTGGCTTGGTGCCCTCTTTGCCACTGGACGAGACACAGTGCCAGGACACAAAGCAGCCATGCTCTGATCACAGCCACCTTAACCCAGAGCAGGGTTAAGGGAGCTGCCGAGGTGTAAACCAGAGTGACTCTGCTGCTGGGGTGGGCTGTGGGCTCATAACGTCCCCAAGACACAGCAGGACAGTGAGCTCCATGTCCAGGAAGAGAGCAGAGGCTGGGGAGTGCAATCAGACCGCGGAGACAAGGCTAGGGGCAGAGCCTGTGTGTTTGGCAATTCAAGGTAATCTGGAGACACATACTGTTTGGTAAGATTGTGGGTTGCCAGCCACTCAGGGACTTGTTCAGCTCCTGCACGAAGGTCAGGTAGTAAAGGTCTGTAAATATATTCACCATACGATTGTTCTCGAGCAGGTACTAGAAAGGACAGAACACACAGTCAAGAGAGACATGGCAGCACCTGGGTGCAAACCCTCCCCAGAGGGCCCACAGAGCAGACGGAGCCATCCCTGCACAGCCAGCGCTGCAGGGCACACTCAGAGCCTGGCAAAGCAGCCTTGGAAGCAGTGAGTGATGCTGGGAAAACCTCCCAGTTCTCCTTAAGGACGTGCATGAAAAGTGCAAGGCCAGGAAAGAGCTGCCACCTTATGTGCTAGGGCTGGGAACAGAATGAACCAGGCGGGTTCCTATCTTGGGGTGAGGTTAATGAATCTCTTTGGATTCCCAGAAGGCAGAATAAAGGGTATGGGCTCCCCCCGCCATATCCGAGCGCCAGGTTTGGCTGTGGAGGAGCTGAGGGCAGCAAGCCCTCCCTCACCTGCTGGATGCCAAGGCAGAGGTAATAGATGCTGTCTGGTTCATAGCGCTCCCCATTGGGTCGAGTTATTTCCTTGACAAACTGGGCCAGGCCGTAGTTGAGCTCCGCCGCGGTGCAGGCCAGGATGTCCTCCTTGATCCTCATGGGCTTGGCTGTGGAGGCAAGCAAGGCAGCCTCAGGCAAGAGGCCGGGAGCACCTCAGCAGCCCAGGGCACGTGTGCCGGGCGGCTGGTGCCGCTCCGCGGCGCGCGGGCCGGACACTCACGCCCGAAGCGCAGCTCCTCGCCCTTGCTGCTCTCCCCCGCGGCGTACTTGGCCTGCACCCAGGACTTCCAGGCGTTCACCCCGTACGAGTAGTTCAGCGCCGTGCAGCTGGGCTGGCTGCTCATGGAGTCCCGCGAGCAGCTCTCGGACAGCACCAGGCGCTTCTGCCCCTGCGGGAAGGGCACTGTGAGGCTGGGCACGTACCTGGGGCAGATGCAAGAGTCCTGGCCGCTCCGGAACCTGCTGAGAGCCACCTCCCTCTCAGCAGTCTGTGTCCGTGCCCTCAGGCAGCCTTCTGGTGACAGCCGAGTCAATGAAGCCCATTGGGAGAGCCACAGTAGAAGAATCCATCTCTCACCTGGCCTGTGGCATTCAGGGCCCCTCCAAACACAATTTCCATTCAAGGAGCAGCCCATCGTCCAGGCACATGCAGAAGGGAGAGGGCACAACCTCCCCAGCACACTGAAGCCTCAGCATGCTTCACCTCAGAGCATTTCCCAGGTACCAGCTCCAAGTCCAAACCCACAGAGCTCTGAGCAGGCATCCATGAAGAGCTCACCTTCCGGACAGCACGAGGCAGGTCTTGCTCTGTGGACACATCTTCTGGCCCCACCAGTCCACAGTCAAAGAGGAAATCCACGCTGGGGTTGATGTCTAGCGGGTCTGACAAGAAACACAAGCAAAAGGGCTCAGCTGAGGCATCCCATTCTGTCCCCAGCAGAGATAAGAGGCAGGTTACAAGTTACAGACAAGTTACAGCTCTATCCTGGACCTCTCACTTTGTTCTCTCCTTATCATGCTGTAAGAAACATCTCCACCCGTGTGTAAAGGCACACAGGCCTTCACCGTCTGTGCCTGGCATGAACTTTTAGCCACAGCTCAACACCACCACCACAAACAGTACTACTTGCCAGAGCTGCTAAACTTTCTCACACTAACCAAATTCCCCCTTCTGACAGTTTGCCAGAATCAGGACAGCCTGGCTCCAGCATCCCAATTTTCTGTCCTTCGCTTGCATCCTGCCTCAGCACTGCTGTGTTTCCCTGCCCTTCCTTATCACTTCCTGCCCTCCACAGGGCATGCACAGGAACTCTGCTGTCTCCCAGATCTGTCTCCCTGATCCCTGTTCTGTCCAGGTCTGTCTGAAGCTTTACTGGATCCCCGAAAATCACCCATAGGCATGACAGCACATCTGCCCTTCCCTTTCTGGTGCCAAAATCAGCTTCCCATTCCCTTTTCTCTGCAGAAATGTATCTACAGCATGTCAGTTGATCTAGACTTGTTCAAAAGACTTGTTCAAAAGCAGTGATCTCTTATCCGCTGTTGTGAGCGATCACCTGCCAGATACTCAGGTTCTGGCCTCCAACCTGGACAGTCAGAGGACATGGGGATGGAGGTCACAGCACGCAGCTCTTAATGCTGCTGGCAAAGGTGGCCCAAAGCTGCAGGAGGACCCCACTGCAGCACAAGCCGCCCCGCACGCCTGGTTCCCCAAGCTCTTACTCTTCGGGAAGTCAGCCTCCAGGTCCTGGCCAGGCTCATCGAGGACGTTTGCCATCTTGACAGCCATGGCCAACACATCATCTCGTGCCGGCCCGAACAGATCACAGTCCTCCAGGAGCCCCTCTGCACTCTGGTTACTCACCAGGTCTGCAATACAAAAGCAGATCAAGAAACGCACTTTTACAGAAATCTTTCTGGCTGTTTTTCCTGTGACAGCTAGAAAATGAAGTTGGTCTCCCTGGGGCAAGTCCTGTGCTCAGAGCAATCCCACACAGCAGTCCTATAATGGCTACACTGTCCAGTTTTTCCTGCATGGTGAGATATTGGACCTCTGTCCTCTCCCCAGCTACAGGGGAAGTTTGGGGAAGGTAGTTCCCAGCTAAGAAGATGAGTGAGATCAAGATGCCCAGTCTTCTTGCTGGACAGCCCATTTGAAGTAAGAGCCAGAACAGCCATGTGAATAAGCTAATGGTGCTGCACGTTGCCAGAGGTGCACGGGCACTTCTGCAAGGGACGGTGGCAGACACCACTCCCTGCTGCAGCACTTGCTCCCTGGAGCCTCCTCAACAGCAGGCCAGCACTCACTCTTCACTACTGCTTTTCAAAGGCTTTTAGAGGAGCAGCAATAAGGGCAGGGGTGAGAGAACCGCACATGACCCCGCTGTTGGGCCCCACCAAGGCATGGCAGAACCCACCGCACAGGTCTGAGGAGGCCTTGTCCAGTTCCTCGGCCTCCGCAATCATCTCAGCCATGGCCAGGATGTCAGCCTCCAGTGGGTTCGAGGGGATCTTCACCTTCAGCTCCTCAATGGTCTCCACGATCTTATCTGTGCTCTCCAGTGTGGTGGGCAAGAACATTGGCACAGGCACCTGTTGACAGCAGCACAGCGGGCAGAGATCAGACGTGCGGTACCCACAAAGGGCTTTGGCACAGCTGGCTGCTGTAAAAGCAGAGGCAGAGGATGGACAAAGAAGCAAAGAGAGGCTGCGGCACGGCTGGGTGAAGGCAGTAACAGAACAGGGGCAGGTGGAGTGTGTCGCTTACCGGGACAGGCATGGAGAAAGGCACAGGTACTTTCTGGCAGTACATATGCATAGGCACAGGCACGAAGATCGGGACGGGGATTGGCAACACAATCACCTGGGGCTTCCAGTCAGCCTCTGACAAGAGCAAAAGTATGTCAGTGAGCTTGCTCCCAACAGCTCCTTCACCCCATCCAGCTGTGCACTGCCATGCCCATACAGTTGTCCAGTGCCATGGGCCTTCCAGCCACCAGCTACCAGAGCCTACGGGCAGCCCTGCAGCAGCAAGCTGAACACCCCAGCAACAAGAAAGGCTTGTCTTTGGCCAGAGGTGCAAACCTGCCCCTTCAAGAGGTCCTTGCATATGCTACAGGCTACACACATGCCCAAGAGCAGCTACATGGCGCGACTTGCTTGGCAGACAGCCCTTCAGGCAAGCTGACCATCTCCAGAGAAAGAGGAGCTGTCCCACATGCAAGAAGAGGAGAAAGGTTGCCTGGAAGCAGGATAATGCTGCAGTGCTCTCTGCAGTTCTCCTTTTGCTGCTGACAGGGAA